CCCTCAAGAGGGAGTGCAGATTTGAGCGAGGGCTTTGCCACTCATCCTGAATTGGCTTGATTAGATAGGCCAAGCCTACACATTGTTAAGAATTATTAAGGCTTATACATTGTTAAGAATCCAGATAAATAATGCTAAAAATAGCGAGTAATGTAGAGCGAGTGGCTTTTTCCTGGATCATGCTTCTTTAAAAAAAATCATGATTTCCTTCAGACTCGCTGGTTTAGATTTTGCGCTATTCAACTTCACTTGGACCAAGCTTTGTATATAGCATTTGCAGCTCCTGGTTGGAGCAGTGGCAGTAGCATTAATGATAACCTGCCCATGTTGCCAGAAAGCCAGCAGGATGTTATTAAGCAAATGAAATTCATAGACAAGCATTAGTTACGCTGAGAGATGGTGATTTTGCAGCAGTTCTCTGCTTGTCCACCAGTCTCCCCTTCTAACCATAACTTATATCCACATGTTAATCCAGCATTTTTTGGATATGCTGAAGATTGTGCAATCATCCTTTACCTTCCTGAGGAGTAGTCAGGGTTTCTGGTGTCCTGCTATCCTCTGTGACAGAGGTGGAAGCAAAGGAGGAATCTGTGGAATCAGAGGATGCTATCAAGAGAGTGAGAAAATGAATGGTTGGAAGTAGCAAATAAAAGCAGAAACCTGATTTGAGGAGTTAGTGACTTGCTTTAGATCTCTGGCCTGATTAAAAAACTGTGTTTCTTACCAGTTTGCTAAATAACTGGAGAGGCAGAGGTCCTGTAAAGGGGAATCGAGGGAGATGAGTGCAAATGTGCACACCACCATTATCTACCTGGCTGTGCTCCTTAATGTTGCTGGATTTTTTAATGAATCTTGGATGCACAATATCACAATGATCTGGACACTTTTGCTTAACCAGGATAAATGTATAGTATTTCTGGCTATAGTATTTCAAGCCCAAAGATGTCAATCATTAAACACGTATATTCCTGGTATGTCTTGACAGTCTAATATTTCAAAAGTGAAGACGTTATAAGAAGGGGTTGTTCTTTCCCGTAATGTTTAATTTGTAGTTGCCTCCTATGAATATTTTACAGATGCACATGGTCACATCTACTTAATCCAGCTGGAAAACTAACATTATCATAATATTTTTAATAGATAGCAAAATGGCTGTTCTTACCTTTATAAACTGTGGTTGGACTTTCAGAAATGGGTGTGCCATTTTCCTCCGTGATGACTGTGGTCACAAAAGATGTATCTGAGGCCAAGGGAAAGTTGGGATAAAGAGAAGGAGAGAGAGAGAGGCAGCAATTAGGAGTGAACATGAAAAATGAAATCTTGACAAAATTAAGTTGTTTTGGGCTTTGTGGGAAAGAGAGTCAATGCACTAGCCCTTAATTGTTAATGAAAAAAAGACTATCACCTTCATTTAATGTTTGATAACCAAGACAGTAGACACCTGTGTTGTTTCCAGTTGCATGCCTTTACTACTAGAGGTGCAGAAGTCATTTGGAAAAATGCAGAGTGGCCATTGGTAGAAGAAACAAAGCATGGGATTTTTCTTGTGTTTTGGAAATGAGTTTTACCATACAAGTGTGCCTCACCTTCCCCTGGGGTTGTTGAGGTCCCTGGAGCAGCTAGCGTCTCCTTCCCCTGGCCTGAGCTGGGTGCAGAGGAAGAGTCTGCGGAGGTGGTCAGAGGGTGAGGGAATATGTTACTAAGCAGTCACCAACACACAATAGAAAAGACATTTGAGGAATTTATGAAATCAGTTATCCTTCACCTTTGTGGAAAGCAAAGTCAGTTCCCCGGACTTCAGCTTTTGGTAATGTGGCTCAGAACAGCATCTTCCAGTTAGCAATTATTTACCATTATAAGTGAACTTGGGGGATTGGTGTCACTGGTGTCACCCTCTAAGCCAAGCATAAACACACCTAATTTCCATTCTGCTTTCACACTAACCTAAGAACCTGGGGAAATTAAGCAAGACTATTAAAGGCACTGATGTGGAAGAAATCATAACCAATTGTATAGATCTCATCATATACACATGCAGTCTTGATAATAATATATGCGGGTGGATTTAATCATATGCTTACTTTTCTTCCAACCACATTTTCATATGAAAGTAAAGATGGTGTTGGCCACTGGCTCTTTTTTTCCAAGCTAGGCTCATGCAGAGCTATCTGATCAAATAGTTTTACTGAATGCTCAGTGCTCCTGCCTGCTCTGAAAAAATTGCACATATTACTCAAAATTTTCCTCTTTTTCCCATCACATGACATTTACAGTTAGCTTGCCTTTGTATGCAGAAGTCAGTAGTTCTAGGGCAGTTGTCACAATTTTCTCTGTGGCCAGTGTTGATGCAGAAATTGAACTTGTGGGCTCTTCTGAGGATGCTGGACGGTACAGGAAATAAACCATTAGAGAACTGTAAGAATGGTCCTGAGAACTGAGACATGGTTAAAATAATTTAAATGTCAGGCTTTGTGCAAGAGAGGGTTAATGGTTAATGCACCAGCCCCTAATTTCTGGTAGTGTGAGTTCTCTGTCTTGAAGTAAATGATTAATGGCAGTTTTAGATGGAGATGTTTGCCAGTGACGCTATCAATGCAGAAGTAGATGTGCAGAACAGGCAGCGAAAGTGTAATAAGCTTTGATGTTCACTAACCTCCTACCTGACCTAACTTCGCAAATCAGCATAAACTGGCTTATTTAATACTTTCCCATCCAGAAAAGTGTGAAGTGGATAAAGAGGCCTGGTGAATCTGAGTGGGAAAGTAAGCATAGTTATCTACCTATTTTGCTTCTGGTGCTATTCCACGTGCCTACAGAGTTGCTGGCAGAGACATCATGCAGATGTATAACAAGGGATGTTCTAAACCATGATTTGGACAATCCGATATAGCAAAACTCTGCAAGATAGCTATTATAAACTGCATTTCTAAAATCGTTCACAATTATGACTTAACAGATGGATGTGGTGTTGCATCTCACATTTAGGATGTGGAAGAATTAATAGCGTAGTTTCTCAGCACTATGTGATGTACTCGGTATGTTTAGAACAACATAAACTAACAGATATGAAGAAAATTAGATATCCTACATAAAGAATACTATGTCCACACAGTCCCAAACTGTTCAGTGTCTTGCCTCTTACTTTGCTTTATTCCTTGTGATACATTAATCTTGGTGTATTTGCCAGTAAATGTCATGGAAAAGATACCTGTTTGCATATCCAGCCCTAAGCCCAAATGACAGTACAGATACAAACACATTTTCCTGTCAGGTTCTTAGACCCCGACATTTTGAAAATGAAGATGAATCGGACGTAGCTCAGTGACTCTTTCTTTGAAGACCATTTTCATTTAGCATTACCTGTTTAAAAATTCGTCTGAATGCCAATTTTTTCTTCTAATAAAATTATATAAATCCTTACATTTTATTAGATGATGCTTATAATTTTAGATTGCCGTTTACCTTCATAGACTGTAGTCAGTTATCTTAAAACAGATGTTTCCCCCAAACTGAGCTATTGGTTAGAAATTAATGCTTTAGATTTTGCAGAAAGGTAAAGTAATACGCTGTCTTGTACTGATCTGGGTCAAAATTGTTTCCCCTCATTAATAACTTACACTTTAAATGAAATTGGCTATTTTGGATGCAGAACCAGGGACATGATCACCTGAAGTGGAAGTGACGTTTGTGCTTTGGCATTTGGGTTTCCTGCCATCTAATATCAGCGAGCAGCACAGGTCTGGGATTTTATGCTCTCCATTCAAAGTAAACCAGAGTGTAAAGTAACAGGGACTGAGCTAATGTGTTAAGGAGGGTACTGACAGAGCTTCAGTTTATCACTCTCTCTGTCAGTTTTATTTACCTTCAGTACTTTCAGTAACTAAGAATGTGGTAGATACTTCCTCACTGTTTGCTGGGGTAGAGGCTGAGGTCCAAACTGGCAGAGACACGAGGAAAAGTCATTAAAACTGAATGGCAACAGGTCAGAGCTATTACAATGTACTTGCTGATTCCAGACTCAAGTGAAAATGATTTAGAGAACCAGTCTTTCACTTCTGGACTACATACGAGTGAAAACAGCATTTTAGTGCCTAATCCTTTGTGACTGTGTACTATGAAGAATATTAGTCATTAAATCAACACGTTTAAATCCCAGGAAGCATGAGTAATGTCTGTACTTTAAGATTTCACAGTGGTGAAAAAAACCAAGAGTCAGTCACTTACACCTGGAGTGTTAAGATCATCTTATGTTTCCCTTAATTATTAGTAGATGAATATCAAATGTAGGTTCTATGAGCAATCAAAACAACAGAAATAATGTAACAATGGATGAATAACAAGTAATGAGGAAAAATTAGGAAGAGGCACCTTTCTAGAATGCCATCTGCCAGAGCAGAAATCGCTCCGAGTTAAAAATTAGTCTCTGAGCATTTGGGGAGACTGCCAAGTGCTAATTAAATGATCTCTCAAAAGTCCTGACTTACTTGATGGTGGAGTCGTGGAGCGTGCCGCATCTGTGAACGTGGAAAAAGGCAAACATTGACTTTTATTCTGCAATTTTTAATATTGCTTCAAAATCGGCTACTTCTAACTATGTAATCTTTGATTTCATTTGCGTTTATCACAAGTGTATTAATCTTTATTTTCACTTCAAACACACCTGTCTCACCTCTTCTGGATGCGCTTTTATCTCCTCTTAACCGGTTGCCTTTCTCATCTTGGAAACAGCCTTCAAATAGCTGTTGACTAGCGTAATCCTGGATTACATTCTTCTCACCCTTTTCATAATCAGTGCTCACTACTGGTATTTTGGTCCTGGTATTTTGTACTGGACATCCTTTTTCTCCTTCATCACTAGGTCCAGTCTGAGTACTAGAGGCCTCTGCATGCACACAGTTCAGCTCTAGTCCAAGACTGGCAAGTTCCACACTGATTTTCTCATTTCTATGGTCGACAGGAAAATCTGTAGAAATTTTTAAGAGGGTAGAGATTTTTTTTACCTGAACAGATGACGCTGACATCTTCATTGTGCCTACAGTTGTGTTTGTGCCAGGGGGCATGCTGACAGTCCCACAGGTAAGATTCATTTCCTGTACACTGCACATCATCCAGGAGGATGTTTCCTTCACCAGGGCCAAAGTAAGACCATCCCAGGACAGAAACAGCGTGGCCACACTCTAGTTGTCTGCATGCAACATTGGCATTGTTCATATCAAAAGAATCATCACAAATTGTCCCCCATTCTCCTCTATAGTAAACTTCAACTCTTCCGGCACATCTGTCCCCTCCATATACCAGTCGCAGTTGTGGCTGATCTGAAACCAAAGCACAAATTGACAGGTAAAGGTCTAGTTTGTTTATCCCTGGGATATCTAAACTCCTAACAGCTAAGGCTCCATCCCCATTGGTGCAGGGATGGCTGTTCATCGTTTCTGTGCCCCCAGTAGCTGCTGGTCCTGGGGCTCATCTCTACACTGCAGTGCACGTGGCAGTACTGGGCAGAGAGCCTCTGGCTGCCTCTGGGCTGTGGAGCTCAGTAACTGGAAGTAAGAAAGCCAGATGAGTGTGGTTAATTCAGCCCATATGCAGTGCCTTGTTCACAGAATCACAGAATGGATGAGGTTGGAAAGGACCTCTGGAGATCATCTACTCCAACCCCCCCTGCTTAAGCAGGGTCACCTAAAGCACATCGCCCAGGACTGTGTCCAGGCGGGTTTTCAATATCTCCAGTGAAGGAGACTCCATAGCCTCTCTGGGCAACCTGTGCCAGTGCTCAGTCAGCCTCACAGGAAAGAAGTTTTTCCTCATGTTCAGACAGAACTTCCTGTGTTTCTGTGTGTCTGTTGCCTCTTGCCCTGTGGCTGGGCACCGCTGAGAAGAGTCTGGCCCCATCCTCTTGACACCCTGCCTTCAGATACTTTTACACACTGGTCAGATCCACTCTCAGTCTTCTCTTCTGCAGGCTGAACAGGCCCAGCTCCCGTCAGCCTTTCCTCATCTGAGAGATGCTCCAGTCCCTTCACACAGCTCTACTGCTTGCGCGACCTGATCTCTCATGTTAGCATACTGTTGGCTGCGCTGGTCAGATAAAAGCTCATCCAGAGCTTTTTCCATGTACCTCTAACAAAGGGCTGGGTATGTTCACACTCGGGTGCGTGCCTTACCCTCTTACCTGTAGATCGAAACTTGCTTTTTATCCATTCTGAAAATTTCTTCCATGCTGATGTGCCTCCATCTTCCGTGTCTCCTGTTGACTGCCACCACACACCACTTACTGTGGCAGATAAGAAAGTGTATTAGCACTGATATAACACATTGCCATTCTAGATATGCTTTATGGTTTTGCTGTGAGATAATACCCTGTATGGGTTGATACAGAGTTTGTTACAGTGTGTGTTAATATGTGAGGTGTTTTCAAAGCCATTCCATGATTCCTCCTTGTGCCAGGAGGGACAGGCTTTTTCCCTCATAATTTAATGAAAGAAAATTGTAGAGGAAACCATTTCATGTGGCGGCACCAAGAGCAAGGAGTTATGACCCCAGAAATCCTCATGTATGTCCTTCACCTCCAGTGAAGACGTGGGCTTCTGTGACCTGAGTTTGGACCATTTTTGCTGTGGCAGTAGGAAAGCTTATTTACCTTTGCCAGATGTAATTACTACAGTAGCAGAGGCTGCTACTGTGACAGCTGTGTCGGCTGACAGCCCGACATATTAACTTAAGCCACCGTCTTTGCAAATGCCTGCTCGGGTCTGCCTGGAGGGCCCAGCCTTTGGCTGGCTCTGCGGAGAAGAGGTGCCGTTTGTATAGCGCCATCGATGTTTACCAAGTCACTTAGTGACAGCCCACACCTTCTACACTGCTTAACGTATTCCGTAATGTCAGATTAAACCAAACAGTGGCATTACTTCAAATCTGCCTGTATCTGTAGGGCAGCTCTTCCATTTACAGTCTATGAACTTCCTGCTAGTTCTGCCAAGTTTAGGGAATCTCAGATAAACCGCTGTATCCTCACAGGGGATCCTTTGCTTCCTCATTTACAGTGAAACCACTGAGACTATGCAATGAGCTTCCTCTAGTTATTCCCATGAAAATCAGAAAAGCTCTAATACTTCCCATGCTGAAGAAGAGAACTCCAAACTTCCGTTTCCACTGCTTCTCCAGGTGCCATTGTAAGCATGCAGAAATGTGCACCGGGGACTGCAGGGCATGGCATATGCTTTTTTAAAACCACTAGGAGAACTTCACAGACCCAAAGGATGAAACAGACTTCCAAAAGAGGACACAAACGTGTGGTCTGATCAGGGTGGTTTTAATAGTCTGCAACTTGAGTCAAACAAATACCTTTGAAAATCTGGCCTTATAAAAATTCAATGAAAAGAAATAGAATTTAGGCTGCTAGGAATAAAAGCAATGTTTTCAAATGGCAGCTTTTAAAAATGTTATCTTTGCTGTTTCAGAAATACCATGTTCTGAAGATCTGTGCCTAGTCCCATCACTAAAATCAGAGGCAATCGTTTTGTTGGCTCTGGATCTCGCCTGCAATTGACCTCAGAAGTTGAAAATATCATTAATTTGGGATCTACAATATTTTCTCTATTTTACTCATCATTTGATCTTCAGGCCCTTATTTCCATAGATTTTTATTCCTGTGAATAAATCAATGATACTGAAGTCCTGGGTTTGCAAGTCAGGTTCCTAAGTGATTTTCTCAATCAAAATTAATCCGACTTACATCAGGTCAAATCAAAGACAAAAGTGAACGTATTGAATAAGAACAAAGATTATAAGATTGCTGTAGTATTGGGATTTGACCACCTTCTTGAAATGCAGTTTAGTCCTCTTTGATGCTGAACTTACTTCTGGGTTGCCTTTGCTCATTTTATACATAATTCAACATAGCCAACCCTCTAATCCAAATTCTATGAATCTATCTGTTCTTGTAAGGGGATTGACAAGGCTTTATTAGTAATGCCTGTGCTGATTATTGCAGATCAAAGTATCTCATTCAAACCAGCAAGATTGTAGGGAAGGTTTAGGGTTATTTTTCTCTGAAGTTTGAACATGGTTCTGCAGTGATCCCAGCTCTCTGCAGACCTTCAGGTTAGTAATATACATTTCTGTCTGAGTCTGCCAGGCTGCTCTTTGTTTCTTTTTTCCTCTCTCTTTTTGTCTTTAAATGTACAGGATAGAAGAGATGAAATCCCATACTAGAATATTAGAAGAAGAATATTTGGAAAACAGCCTCCCTTCATAGAAGAGCAACAAAGAAAATACCATTCTTCAGCATCCTCAGTTTCAAAATGTAGATAACCTGTAGATTTGATCTCAGTCTTTGCTTTGGGAGACAAATTAAACCAACCATGTTGCTGTATAAAGCTAATGAGCAATATTTTAACATACTCTTTGCTACCAGTTCCCAGCAAGCCACTCTGTATACAAATTCTATCTGTAGCATTTCCTTGCAAGAATGAAAAATTATCCATTTTTAACACTGTACCTGGTTTATATAGAAGAGTAGTACTTAACAGAAGCATCCAAGTGAGACTCACTTGAGGGTCCATTTTCTGTGGGGTTGTTGGTTCTGTAAAAGAAATGTAGTTTCAGAATTTATATTAGATGAGATCTGGTGTGTACCGTGCAATTTGATCTTTCTTGCTGAACTTCCAGATCAATGACAAGGAAGTGATTTACTGCATGTTTTCATTTCACAGTGTACATCCATACATCCGGATAAGTCGATCCAGATCATACTGCTGTTCCGGACTGGTTACTGAGGTCTTCCCAAACACCCCTCAGACACCTTTGGAGCTGTGTGTGATGATGTGGTTATTCCAGGAAGCAGTGATTTACTTTTGGAGATTAGGCTGTTTGGTAAGGATTCTCATACCATCAGTTAAGTCTGTTCCCAAATTACCATTGTGCTAAAACAGATGAAATTAGCGTAAGAATTGTATTGAAAAAAGATCAGCATCCTAAAAATTTCAGGAATGCCTCAGCCAAGCTCTCTCTGTCCACTAGAGGCTATTCCTGTAGAAAACAATTTCTAAGCTTTTTCAGATATCTCTGACTCATGTTTAACCTGGGACTAGGTCCCTCCAGCATGCTCCTGATCTGCACTTCTTTCTCACTTGCAGCCTCTAGAGCAATGAAATAGCTGTAAGAGATATCATAACAAATAATGACAAAAGCATGGAAGAAAGAACTGCTTTGGGGGATAAATAAATAGCAAAACTGCTGAACTAGACCAACCAAAGAAATGGAGGCAGGATAGGGCTGGATGGTGCTAAATTAAGCTAAAAATGTGCAGGTCATTGGGCCCCTGCCATCTGTATATAAGGACAGAAGGACAGGACTGGCTGCTGTGCCCTGAACGTGGGTAAGGTCAGTGTTGACTGAAGTCATGGGGCCCTATGCAGGGATCGACACTGATTTGCTGTTACCCCCCCAAGAAAATGTTT